TCTCTAACAATCTGTGGCCATTATTCCTAGTAGCCCCAGGTGGTGGCCAGGGGGAACAGAGCCTCCCCCAATTCTCACTGGTCCCCCCGTTGAGTTTGTAAATGGCCACCAGATCCCCTCTCAGCCTTCTCTTGTGGAGGCTGAATAAGTTCAGGCCCTTTAGCCTCTCTTCGTAGGGCTTGCCCCAGTGCCCCTTGACCATGCAAGTGGCCCTCCTCTGGACCTTCTCAATGATAGCCACATCCCTCTCGAAGTGTGGTGCCCAGAACTGGATGCAGTACTCCAACTGCGGCCTGACTAGCACCACCTAGAGAGGAAGGATCACCTCCCTGGACCAGCTTGTGATGCATCTGTGGATGCACAACAAGGTGCATCCTTGTGGCCTTATTGACTGCTTCCTCGCATTGGCAATTCATGTTCATCCTGGAGTCAACAATGTGCTTTCAACAACTGTGTTGACAAGAAGGGTGTTCCCCAGCCTACAGGTGTGTTGCTGGTTCCTTCTCCCTAGATGCAGTGCCTTGCACTTGTCTGCATTGAATTCCATCCTATTTTCATCCACCCACCTCTGTAATTTGTCTAGATCTAGCTGGATTCTGTCTCTCCCCTCCAGCGAGTCCACCTCACCCCACAACTTGGTGTCGTCAGCAAATTTGAACAGCATGCATTCCACACCCACATCCAGATAGCTGAAAAAGATGTTGAACAGTACAGGCCCCAGGACCGAGCCCTGTGGGACTCCACTGCCCACATCCCTCCAGGTTGAAAACGACCTGTCCACCACCACTCTCTGGGTGCTGCCATCTAGCCAATTTGCCACCCATCTGACAGTGTAGGCATCAATGCCACAGATACCGCGTTTTGAGAGAATGTGGTGGGAATCCATGTCAAAGGCCTTCTTAAAGTCCAGGAAGATGACATGTACCCCAACACCCTGGAAACAGCCCTGCTGTCTGTGCCATGGGCAAGAGTTACTAGAGCTGCCGCCTACCCCACGAAGCCCCAGGAATAGTTCTGATTCCTGTGGGGCAGAGGGTGGCTACCGGACCTGCCAACCACCCTGAAAGAGCTTCAGGGAAAGTTTCTCTTCCCATGGGCACTCTGAGAGCTCTTCCCTTGCTAGAGTCCCTGTGGGAACAGCTATCTTACCCCTCAGGGTTGGGGATTGTGGACAGGCTCCTCTCTTCTGCAGGCAGATGCAGGATGAGCTTGTGAGCCCTGTTTTTGCCCTGCTACCCAGATAGGTCCTCGGGCACCAACTTCTGCTGCAAGCAAGGCCCCCCCCCCCCCCACAAATGAGCAGGGACTGTCAGCAACTGCTGCTGCCCCAGTTGCAGTCCCAGAGCACTAACCAGAGCTGCAAGCACAGCCCTGGTTCTCCTGCAAGGGGGGCAGGGGTAGGGAGTCTCTCCCTTGCAGCTGCCTCCAACCCATACCCTGAGAAACTGGGGACTCTCCATCATTAAAAGTTTCTAAAAAGAGGTTGGAAAGCCACTGGTCTGGGATGATCTGGACACATATATGCCTATGTTCTACTATGGGTATTTCCCATGCTTCTGGGCTTTGCTACTTGTCACACAGAGAAGGGAAAGAAACCTGCACCCTTCCGTTCCTCCTCACCACTGCTACATGTTTTACAGGGGTTTTTTAAGCCTTCCTCAGAGGCACTGGCTGTTGGCTGCAGCCAAGCCTAGGGATTTTGACTGGGGTGTGTCGATGTTCCTGCTGGGAATTAAGCTTGGATGTTCCTGGCTAGAGGGTCTTGACCCTCCACTCAGGGTCAGACTGATCACCATATTTGAGGCCAGGAAAGAATTTTACCCTATGGTCAGATTGGTATGTACTGTGTGGGTTTTTTGCCTTCCTCTGTAGTGGAGGACACGGCCCTCCTCCTCAGATCTCTTGAGCTTATATTAACAACCTTTACAGCAGCAGGACATTGGAGGTCCTATCCTATACACTTGCAGGGAGGCTGCTCCAAAGTGCGGTAATTACAGTGCATCAGAGGAAACTCAATTAATTGAGTCTGCTGAAGCATAGTAATTACTGTGCTCCAGCAAACTCCAGTGTCATGTGTATCACTGTCCCCACGCTGAAAAATGACAGCAGGGTGCTTTAACTAAAGCTTGTTCACTGAGCTTTAGTTAAAGCCCCCCACCACCATTTTTCAGTGTGGGGATAGTAATACACATCACACTCCAGGCACTTTAATTAGAGTGGCTCTTGGACCTGCTCTACTAAAAGCGCTCCCCCACTCCACACTCCCGGAGCATATGTATAAGTGCCCTAGGATTCCATCCCTTTCTATCTAGTGCAATATCCTTCCATGTTGTCACTTCTTTGCATATTCCTTCTAGATCAGGTTTTACATTATCTTCCCATCATTGCCTTGGTCAACAAACTTCATAGTATTACCGAAACAACATCTGCTAGAATTCTAAGTATACATCTCATCTTTATTTTAATGTATCTCACCCCACAGGAAGGTCTGACATTTGCCTCCTCCACAGTATCATTTAAATGCATTTTTTCCTGCTTTGAAATTGTTAAAAATTGAGTTTCTCTCTATTCAAAAAGACTGACGCACCATATTAACATAAAAGACATTTAGCAGAAAGCCACATGCAACTGTCCCTAACAAGGTCATTTAAAAAATAAATACCTCTCTCAATTATTAAGCCATGTGGGGGGCCAGGGAGAAATATTTTGCATGTGACATGCAATTTCCTATTTTAATCAATTCCCACATTATTTAATGTGACAGACTGCTGGATCATGTTTTCTTCTAACCAGTGCAACTGCCTGTCATTAGAGTATAAACCCTTCCTCACTTACAATTCCTATCCAAAGCAAAGAGTAAAGATGGTGGACAGAGGACACTGGAACAACACAGCTGTATGTTAACCCAAATCATCTCCCTGGTTTACTTAAATCTCTTTTCCTGTATGCACTAGAAAAAACTGATTCGATGGATGGTCTTGCACCATTATACGTTTTCCTCTCTACTGTTTTTACACAAGGAGTATTTAAGGCAAACCTTCTTGCAGAACGGAAATGGTCCCTGGCAAGAATGAGATCCTGCAACCCCCTCAGTTCTTCACTTTCTCTATTCACATTGCCAAAACATGCCCTTTTTCAAAATGCTTCAGGAAAGGAACGAGAAATGGGTCAGCTAATCTCATATACATGTCAAAAAAGCTTGTGCTTATAGACCCTTCTCCAAGCACATTTCTCATCTTCTCACTGTTCATTTTTTACTCATTCTTTTCTACTTTCATCTTTTCCCCAATTTTGTAAATCTTCCTTTCATACACTTCTCTCTTCTCCACACTCCTCTTCCTTTGTTTTGCACATATTGTCTTGCCCACTGGATTCAAAACAAGGCTGAACAATTGAAACAGAAGCAAGTAACACTTAACTGTAAATAAGCCTAGTTTGGTACACAGGCAGTAAGCAAAGCACTCTTAAGTATTTAAAAGCAAATATTGTTCAAAGCACTGTAGAAGAGAGGATGACAAACAGCTAAGCATCCCTGTGTGATACCTAGAAGCTGACATTAGTTGTTGAACACAGACCTTTGTGACCCTTCTTTTGGTCTCAGAATCAGGACTGAAAATATTGCAACATCAAGACACTTTGCAGGCTAAAGATTAAAAATAAAAATAAACAGAGCAACTTACAATTCTATAGCAGAACAAAGAGCTCCACAATTACCTCTGACAAAGACAGTGGCTGCAACGTACCAAGATGTGCATACAATGAACAGATACAACTCCTATAAATACAAGGCTGATGGGTCCAATCTGTATGGAGAGAGAAGGCAGGTCATAGGTTGTAAATATATGAAGTACTTTAAGAGAACTAGTTGTCATAGACAAGTCTCTCTATAAGCAATTTCACATTTTATTAAATAAGAGCTAGTTATGAGCAGGTTCAAAATAAATATGATGAACAGAGAAACAGTTTAAACACTAGAAGTCCCTATTCTTCCTGAAGAACTGAGTGTCAATTTTAAAGGCAACAACTGGGCAGACTTTATGGAAATGGGAGACTCATCCCCAGTTTGTTCCTGAGCCCATACAACTGAAGGCAAGCAAAACTCGGGGGATTCCCAACCTCAAGCCTCTGGGCATGGGCCTGCACATGCCTGCCAAAAGATTTGGAAGTATTTGAAGCCCCAGGCTGGGGTGGAGGATACTTGCTGGTAGCTGGGCCACATATGGTTCTTCGATGATTCAATGGATTTGGACCTGATCTGGCTAATTTGACCTGGGACATGAAAAAATTTCCTTAAAAAAAAACAACAACAACAGCAAAAATACCAAAGAGTGTATACTTACCTGTCAGGGAAAATACCCTGACCAAGGTAATGCAATTAATATGGCACTATATAGTGGAGAGTGCACCCTTATCTGCTTGAGAACAGGACTCCCTACAAGAGCCTCATAGTTAGTTTCCACCTGGCCAGCTTCAGGTAGGAGTATCTCAACTACATGCCAACTTTATGTAAATGGGAGATTCCTGCCTAGCTTGCTCCTGTGGCCATGTGGCTGAAAGCAGGCAAAACCTGAGGGCATCTCAACCCCAAGCTTCCAGGCTTGGGCCTGCATGTAAGATGCCTGCCAAAAGATGTGGAAATATCTGAAGCCCCAAGCCGAAAAATCTGGGGTGGAGAATACTTGCCAGTAGCAGGGCCACATACGGCTCTTTAACAATTCAAAGGATTTGGAACCGACTTGGCTGATCTGGCTAATTTGATCTGGGATGTGAAAAATGTCCTTAAAAACCAGAAAAAGGAAAACACATCAGTGGTGTAGCAGAAAGTCTGTACATTCCTTTTGGTGGTGACAGGTGTCAGAACCCTGATCAGAGAAGCAGTCCTCTATGGGCACTTGACCAAATAACAAAGGGCCCTGATAGCTCACTTTGACCAGTTCATCTCCTGCTTCAGGCATGCTCTGTGGAAAGCCAGGAACCTGCTCAGGAAATTCTATGACCATGTAGGTGGCTTAAAAATGGCTTTGTGTAGTGGAGGATGCACCCTTTTCTGCTTGCAGACAGGACTTCCTCATAGTTAGCTTCCCACTGGCCAGCTTCTACTTCGAGGATCTCAGCTACATGCCTACTTTATGGAAATGGAGACTCTTCCCTCACTTGCCCCTGCGGCTGTACAGCTGAGGACAAGCAAAACTTGGGGGCACCCAAACTCCAAACCTCTGGGCTTGGGCCTGCACATAGGATGCCTGCCAAAGGATTTGGAAGTATCTGAAGCCCCAAGCTGAAAAGTCTGGGTTGGAGGATACCTGCTGGTAGTAGGGCCACATGAAGTTTTTGAATGATTCAAAGGATTCGGAACTGATCTGGCCAATTTGACTGGGGCGTGAAAATTTTCCTTATTAAAAAAAAAAAAGTTGTATTAAATTGGGGCCGAGAGAAAAATAACGGTGCTACAAAAAGACAGAAGAGGATGATAGGAAAGAAACAGCAGACCTTATATGGTGGAGAGAGGACTGGTATAGATTTTTCAGAGGAAAACCCTCTGAAAAGACAGTGGGTGAAAGCACTGGAATGGTGATGGGTGTGCAGGTGTGAACCATGTAACAGAACTAAAACAGTTTAACTGTCAAAGTATGCTTTGGTTTGCCAAGTGAACCACAGTGGTCACTTGACAGGTTGGTAGAGGTGTAAGTGTATGCAAAAAACTCCCCCCAAAAACAAAAACCTAGATAATCAAAAGAAAAGAAAACCTAGGCATCCAGAGGCCCCTAATTAGCAGAGGTCCCTGGGCCCAGGCCCTGCTGGCCCATGCATTAATCCGCCAATATAGAATGGAGCCTTTTGAGCCCGCTAAAAAAAAAAAAAAAAAAAAAAAAGTATAGGGCAAACATAACTATGCAAGATCTAATGGAAATCACCTCCGCATAAATAGCAAAAGCTTTGCTTACAAAGCTACATAAGCTCCACTTAGGTGTATAAAATTTTAACAGGATATAAAGCCCACAGTCTGACAAGGGACCTCAGGCCATAAAGGAGGAGGACAAAAATTCACCCAAACAACAACTCCCATGATTCAGAAACAATTTCTGAATCAAAAGTTTTCATGCATACACACACACATATACACACACACACACGCGCGCGTCTGTAACAGAGAAATTAAAACTTTACACTGAACCAGTGACAAAAAGAAAAGCCAAGAATTCCAATTCTCAATCTTTCATCCTAACAACCAAACTCCAGAAAAGAAAAATAAGATGTCACCCTGTTTAAGCCATTATTGACAAGATAAGTAAGCATTAGCCTGAATTCCTGCACAATCAGAAACTTTCACAAGCATCTCTTTTCCCACCTAAAGGAAAAAAAAAATTCTTACCACAACGCCTGCATTTTTTATTGCAAGTGGAAGTCCTAGAAGGCCAGTTCCAATGTTTCCTTTGAGGAGATGTGTAAGTGTTTGTACAAATCTGAAATAAAAAAAGAGAGAGAGTCACAGTGGAGATACTGAACAACGTCAGACTGTTGGGGAAAAAAAAAAAAGCTTAACAGAATGAGAAGATAACTTCATACTATAACAATTTCAAGATAAGTCTTGTCAAAATAAAGGCCTGACAGAGGAACAACCAAGTTTTGAAACTATGTTATTTTTTGCCTATTCTGTTTTAGAATCAATGCCTCCTATGTAGTTGTTGAGCAACCATAAATATAGAGATACCTGAGAAACAAAATTAAGAATTTTTTTTCAGCATTCGTATTCATTGAATATTACTTCTCAGGTCTACTGGGTTGTCCAGTATAACTGACGTTGTTTTCCAAGAACTCTGATTTGTCTTTAAAAAAAACCCAAAAAAACAAAAACAAAAACAAAAAAACCAGTTACCATATTTCAGTGTATAAGTTGAGGTTTAGAACCAAAGTATTTACTAGGGGTGCACCAATAGAGATTTTGGGGGCTGATACTGATAGCCAATATTTAAGGAGGCGTATCGGCTGATACCAATCCGATTTCCAGTACAGCTGCCTTTGGCTGGTAAGTCTGTTATGGTAGAAGGGGAGGGGGAAGGGAAGGGAAGGGGCATGGAGGGGCAGATCAATGCTCCCCGCAGTGAGGAAGGGAGGGGACAGGGGCAGGCACTACCCAGGCTGGGCAGGGGGTGTGGGACAGAGACAGCTTGTGGGGAGGGGGCAGTTCCCACTACTGCTTGCACACTGGGAGGGCGGGAGGTGGGGGAGCGTGTGCCCCCCAGGTCTGCGTGGGGCTGACGGGTGGGTGGGCTGGAGCCAGAGCTGCTTGGCTCTTCTTGGCAGGGGCTAGGCTCAGAGTAGGCACCAGCAGCACTGGGAAGGGCGGCAGCCACCACAAATTTCACTGCGGCCCCACTCCCAGCACCGCCACTAGCCACCTGGCACAGCCTCAGATCTTCCCAGCA